AGGTTCCATAGAACGTAATGTAAACCAGTTTGCTATTACGTCGCTGGAAAGCGGAGGGAAAATTCGGCAAGAGATTTGGCGACGGAACCTAGCGGCGAGAATTTCCCCCTTCGCGATGTTTACAGGAAATTGAGGAACACGGTGTTAAGAAAAAATGTTCTTTGACAAAATGTTTCTTTGACTTTCCGTGATAATTTAAACTCGGATTTTCGCACTTTTTTTTTCGTAAAATAACTAATCCATTAATTAATTTACATGCACAAACTCAGATTTTCGCACTTTTTTTTTTCGTAAAATAACTAATCCATTAATTAATTTACTTGCACGAAAAAATATTTTCTTTTCATGGAAAGTTTAAAGAAATTTAAAATGATATTCGTTTTATGGACTCAATAAACGTGACCTTCGAACTTCGACGCCGGCTTGGAGCTTTGGCAACAAATATTTCGCACATGCTGTTTCTTTGCACCACCAACGCGGGTGGGGACTGCATTTCTGAGTGATAACATCATAGTTTTATCGGAAGTAAGCATCAGTGAGGCATCACCAATTTGCCGTGGCGCCCAATTTGAGTTAATTGACCTTAAGAGTCTCTTTTGAGAAAAGCAGGATAAACAGGCTTTCCGCCGGGACAAGCAAAGGACCTCGGGACATGAAGTCTGAAATCTGGAATATTCTACACATAAATAAAAAATAACAAAAGAAAATGAAATTCAGTCTTATCAGTCGCATAAAATTAAAGATAATATCATTCAATATTGCAGAAAAAATTTCCGTCTTTGAATATAATCAGTGCCATATAAATTCTATCAAATATGACTAAATGGTGGCACTGATGTTAATTTCTCCATTTAGCACTGCCCAGCAATTGCTCCGCAGTTTGGGTATGGCATCCAGTTTCGGGATCTACAAAATTATAACTATGATTCGCAGTGAAATGTTCATACGCAGCATTTTTAAATTCCTCTTTCTTATATCCTTTCTAGCAGTCTGAAAATATAATGCTGCCATCCATAATGTTTTCCTGAATATACTCATCAATGCTGTAGCACAACGATTGAGAACGGTAACCAGAAAACATTCTTTGCTTTCCAGATGAAGTACCGGAATACCCATTGTTCCACAAGAACACATCTAACATTTTTTTTTTTTTTTTCTTTTTGCAAAAAGACTTTAAAGTGGTTATTTCAATCTATTGTCGTACCATGGCTGATTTCTAACTGAAGTTGGCAAAATTCAATCGATATCAATTCTTGACACCACAAATAGATAAAATGAACACAAGTGAGGGAAGAAAAACACAATCTTCAAACCATGTTTGGTTCTCAATCCTTTTTTTTTTTTTTTCACAGCGAGAACATATGTAACAGCACCATATAAGAGCTTTGTTTGAGTTGAAAGTTAACTTCGTCATATAATTTTGAGAACAAAGTCTTGCTATGAATTATTCCTTTGCCCTGAAAGAATCTTATGGCAGCCACATTGTCATTAGGTAATTGCAAAATTGTGTTATCCATTGTATTAAAATGTGGCAAAAAATAATGAGTGACGATATTTCAGACGAGAACTAAAAATTTTGACACTCATTATTTCAAACTGTAAATTCTCAAGCAATGATATTGGATGTGTTGTTGTTTTTTTCTTCATATTTAACTGACACCGTTCTAACAGAATATTACCCAGCCTGTAGTTAGGAAGAAAACATAGAAAATAAATATAAAGGAAAATGTACAAAAATATTTAATATATTTTAAAAATCACTCAGATTTTCTTTTTAAATATTTTATATTTTTTATGCGATAAATGTTAAAAATATAATAAAAATAAAATTTATATAAAATAATATAATAAACAAAATAAAAATATGAAAAAAGGAAAGTATAATGTAAAAACGTAAAAAAGGAAAATGTAATATAAAACATAAAAAAGGAAAATATAATATAAAAACATAAAAAAGTATTTTATAACATATAAACATAATATAAAAGAAGGAAAATTTGGAAACACATGAAAACACAGCCTGGGGGGGGGGAATGTGGAAAAATTGTAACTTTCTGAGAAAATGTTTTGTTGTATATAAGCTACTTGCAAAATTTAAAACAATTTAATGTTCACTTGCAAGACATTGAAAACTGGATTTTGCCACATGGCTCACATAATTGCTGAATTGCAACATATTTGATCTTGGTATTATGATGCAAGAAGAGTTGATTGCTTTGAAGGAGAATATTTTAACATAAGTCAAAATCAAAACAAAAGGGTATTTTAAGTTTTGGAATTTAAAAGTTGTATGAGAGAAATATTTCCAAAATAAAAGTTGTTACCAAACGTTGACTATTCACTCTTCTTACTTGAGGAAGAAATTAAATTTAATAGAAGGAGGCTTAAGTCAATAATTTACTACAGAAAACCAGAAACAGGTTGAATATTTTTTAGCTCATCTTACTTGAATAATATATTTTAACTCTTCTTACTTGAGGAAGAAATTAAATTTAATAGAAGGAGGCTTAAGTCAATAATTTACTACAGAAAACTAGAAACAGGTTGAATATTTTTTAGCAAGGTGTTTTAAAAATTAAGTTAAACAATGTTGTGCCAAATGTTAAAAAAATTGCATTTGCACATTAAGCATAAACATGATGTTAATTAAAATTGAACTTTTGTGTAATTAGAATGTGTTATTGTTTCTGAAAACTTATTTATAAAATTAAAATTTGTAGTTTAAATGTTATCTTTAATTTGATTTATGTGCAGTTGTTTGTATTGTGATTATGTTATATGTGTATATTATAAAGAAAATTTTAAGTGGCTCTATGAAAAAAATTAATTTTTAAAAAGATATAAAAAAAGATTGGGAATCTCTTTCCTAGAAAATGATTTTTTTTTTTATCTTTCTCCGCCCTTCTACAAGAAAGTAAATTTTATATTTCTTGTTTAGATGCTCAAATGAGCTTCTTCTTTCATTAACTCACTGTTAATGGGTAAATTAGAAACTTTCTTTGAATCATTGAATCAGAGATAGTTCTAATCTCTCAAACTTCTCATTCTGAATTCAATATTATTCCTTTGAGTGCATTTCCCAGTCATGAGAATTTAGCGATGGAGTCATTGTTTTTCATAGCTGATTCTGGCCATTGGAAATTTTTGGTTAAAGACTTGTTTTTTTATTTGGATCATTTTCTGTGTTCTGAATTCAGATTAGTGAAGCTTTTCTTTGGTGTATCTTGGTAAAATTTCAAATTTTAAAATATTTAAAATTGGAGGGAATGTTTGGTTTGGGAAGATCCATGCACAAAAAGTCTCATGGAGTCTCCAAAAGACCCTAATACTATTAAGTTAAATATGATATAGTAAAAAAAAAAAAAAAAAAAAAAAAAGAGAGAGAGAGAGAGATTCTTTTTATCTGAGTTGGATTCAAGGACAGAATTTTTGTGATGCATAGAATGAGAATATACTTTAAATTTCATACATATAAACAAGGGAATCTTAATATTGTTTGCTTATTCCCTATGCATGAATTAAAAAAAAAAGTTGGGGGGTCATACAACTACCACAGACTTTGAACACAATGACTCTATTATCTGTGTGCAGAGTTTTACTATGCAAGTACATGTTATACTACAAATTCACAATGTTCCTGACACAGCAATGCCCAAAATGACAGATTTCTTGTGTGTGCTGCCCTTATGGATCATACAGCCATAACATGTTTTTAGGTTAGGAATGAGGATGCTTTGCACAACAGAATGTATCTGCATGTATATTACAACATGGTATCATTTGCAGTTTCAGAGATCATTAAGGCAGTTATTGCTTCAGCTACTTTTAACTGAATTTCACTTTTGCTTGTAGCACTGTAATAGGCATGTCTGCCTATGTTGCCATCATGGGGGCGGGCTAATTATTGGAATCTTGTGTTATTCATCCCCACATTGGCCTAATACCTGAAATATGGTATGGGATGCCATTGAATATGAGCGTTTCTTAAAATTAGTAGGCATATCCAGGACTTTGACCAGCCAGCTTTACATTGCAGAGGTGTAGTCCCATGTTTTCAGAGTTTCTTTAAAATGTCTTACCAGCAAAATATTATTCAATTACATATCACATGCAGTATCTGACCTTTCCTTGATAGATAGTATGTTTCAGTTTTGCCTTGGCAGGCATTTTCATTAGAGCTTTTACCATTTGAAGACGTCTGGTGCTTGATTGCACAAAGACTGGCATGGCCAAACCATCAATGGCTATAAGAGAGAGAAAATTTAAGTGTGTAGATGGCAGTATGCCAAGTTACCATCCACAGTCTGTTTTGCATATGTTCAGCTGTGTAGTATGTTAAGCCATGTAGAAATAGTAGTCCAGCTGTGTTGCTGCCTGTTATGGATGCATGCAATCGTGATCATTACAAGTCCAAACTACTTGAAACTTTAACTATTTTATCTTTATAGTTTAAGACATTTATAAAATAAATATGGTTTCTGTTTTTGTCCTTCATGGTATTACAGTTGTAATGGCCAGGTACTTTATAAATATGAGGAAATAATTAATTTTTTATTAATATTCATGCAAAAATATGACTATGTATTCTTCTAGAACTTTCTTAAATGTTATTAAATATTTTTCTGAGCATTTTTGCCATAAAATCTTGTTAAGAAAATTTGCAAAAATTAATTGAATAAAAACTGAAACTTTGAAAAGTTAGTTTTTTACTAAAACTTGGGCAGTAATTTAGATTTAAATAAAAATGCAAGGTTAGATCAGTGGTTTTTCAGAAGTGTGTTTTGACAGAAGGAAAACTAATGGAAAAATGAGAAAATGTCAATAATATGCCACAACACACATGCACACACACTCACAAAAAGCATTAGAATTACTGGTTTAAATAGTCATAGTTTTCTGAATGTGCTAGTTTTTTAAGTGGCTTGGTTTCTGATAAATTCATAGATCTCTCAATGAATGTTTAAAGTTTGTTAATCTTATAAATGTTTCTTTATTTCTAGACTTTCGTGAATTTGATTGATGGAAGTAGTGATTATGAGAAGGGAGAACTTATTGAACTAAGAATTGAAGATGCAATTGAAAATTTCTGCAAAGAGGCTACCAAAATTTTGCCAATGCCAAATTTAATACCGGTAGTGTAGTTTACTTATTTCCCTGAATTATAATTTTTATTCCAAAAGTGCAACAAAAATTCTTATAAAATAGCCAAGCAATGCATTAAATAAGCAACAACAGTTGTTCAAATATTTAAGCATATCTGCACAAAATTATATAAGAAATGTGTGTGTAATTTCAATCATGCATTTTTCATGTAAATGATAAAGTTAAATATTTTAATTTATCTCTTTATTATTTTTAGAAATAATAATTTTCATGTATATTTTCATATATATATTCATATCAACTAAACAGTATTAAAAGTATTAAAAGGTTTTTATGTGTTATTTTTTTAACTGCCTTATTATATTTTTTTCCCATGTAGGTTGTTGACTTCTGGGTACAGCAACATACTGTGGACATTAAAAGTCAGCCTTCATCTGAAGATTCAAAAAGCTCCCAAAATATTTCATTATTACAGAGGGTTTTAAATTGTCTTAGTGTGGAGTAAGAGTGAACATTTCATGCTATTGTTATTATGTGTTACTATATATTGAAAAGGAATTTTTTTAAATACCACATTAATATCTAGCACACTAAAATGTTTTCATAATATTTCATTATTACAGAGGGTTTTAAATTGTCTTAGTGTGGAGTAAGAGTGAACATTTCATGCTATTGTTATTATGTGTTACTATATATTGAAAAGGAATTTTTTTAAATACCACATTAATATCTAGCACACTAAAATGTTTTCATAATATTTCATTATTACAGGGGTTTATTTCTTATGTTAAGAGTGAACATTTCCTATTGTTATTATGTGTACTATATATTAAAAGGTATTAGCACACTAAACATTTATATAAGAGTGACATTTCATGCTATTGTTATTAGGTTACTATATTTTTGAAAAGGAATTTTTTTTAAAACCACATTAATATCTAGCACACTAAATGTTTCATAATATTTCATTATTACAGAGGGTTTTAAATTTTCTTAGTGTTAAGATTGTGCTATTGTTATTATTACTAATTGAAAGGAATTTTTAAATTATTTACTAAAATGTTTCATAATATTTCATTAAGGGTTTTAAATTGTCTTAGTGTGGAGTAAGAGTGGACATTTCATGCTATTGTTATTGTGTGTTACTATATATTGAAAAGGAATTTTTTTTAAATACCACATTAATATCTAGCACACTAAAATGTTTTCATTTAAAAGTTCTGATTTTTATGTAATACATGAATGCAAAAAATTATTTTTAGCACCACAAATTATAAAAATATTTAAATTCAAGGATGTAAGATATCTATGTAGATTTTCATATGATATTCATTGTTTAGTTTCAGCTCAAATTTTCAAATTCTGTTTTTTTATATCTGTATGAAATATAGGTCAGTCAAGAACATCCATAATATCGATACAAAATATGGTGTTAAACATGATTTTATTGATAGCAAGTAAATGTGATACACTACTAAAAAGTTTCTAAAGCTAAGTTTTGAATCCTCAATTTTTATTATTTCAGTTTCTGACAAAGTAAAAGGGAATATTGGTTTGCTTTTTCAGTTTCTTTGTTATGAGTAAATTAAAGTTTTTTATGCATTTAAGTAATAACAATTTGTATAATTTAACTTATATTTTGCTATATTATTTAATATTATTTTTATGCATGTCTTGATTTTAAGGTGCAAATGCATTTAGGCTTATAAATTTATTTTTATCATAATTGTTCTTAATATTATTATAAGATAGGTACCATTCTGTTATCAGGGCCAGGTCTAAAAATGTATATATGTATTCATGCATGTATGTACATGCATGTAGTTTTCACGATTTCCAAGAAATTTGGATTTTAGTTTAAGATCAGGTCCAAATTGTGTATGCTTGATTACTACTACATCATAAAGCTGGAACTTTATGAGATGGTTTATGCCATAGGTTGTAATTTTTCGATTTTTAGCCTGCACATTCAAAATTTGTTGTTTAGCTTCCTTGCGAAAATCATCATGAGCGTTGATGAAATCTGACTGGATCTCTCTGCATTTAACAGCTCTGTTATTTTTCATGATTAGCAGATTTCATTTTATTTCTAAATTTGAGTTCAAATGGAGTTGTATTGATACTGCTTTGGTGTGTTGAATTAGTCACGTGCTGAACTTCACCGACATGTGTATACCATTTTGACAGATTTTGAATCTATAATTTGGAGAGAATGGAAATTATGACAGAATTCAATCTGTCAATTTTCCATTGGCACGAAGCAATCCTGTAGTAATTTGAATGTGCTGGATGTTGTTGGTTGAACAATAATCTTGAAAATCTTTTGAAGTAAATGCTGAACCCCTATCTGAAATTATACGAGAAGGATTTCCAAAAACAAATTTTTGATTTTCCAATTTAGATAGTACTTCAACACTATCAATAGATTTTGTTGGGTAAAGCCATACAAACTTTGTAAAAGAGTCAATAACAGCAAATATATACTTGTAATTTTTATGAGTACTTTGGAATAGTCCTAAATGATCAATGTGATATGTATAAGGTGGTACATCTTGTTTGGGTATAGAATGCAACATACCTTCTTGTTTGCCACATTTACGATTAATTAGTATGCAAGGAACACAATTTGCAAAATAGATATCAATTTTATCTTTAAGCTTTGGTATATAACATTCTTCTTTAATAAGGTCTTCAGTTCGTTGAGAATCGAAATGTCCATGAAGATGTGCGTCCTTAATTATGTCAGTTTGCATTGATTCTGGGACAACAAGTAATTCGTTACTGTCTACAGATTTATAAAGTATATCAACTGAAATGCATCACAAGGTTTAATTTTTAAGACTTCTTTGATAGCTCATATCTTGCTCACGAGCATATCATATTTTTAAAATGAGGCTATCTTGGGTAATGATCATAAGAGGGGATCTGCTCAGTACATCAATATGTGTTATTCATGCTCCCGTTTTGTTTTCTATTTTGTAGTCGAATTCTTCTAACATCGATGATCAACGTGCTATTCATGTATTTAAGTCTTTCTTGTTCGTTGTCATGTTGAATGCATTACAGTCACTAATAATTTTGAAGTGTTTTCCTAAAAGATAAAGTTTAAATTTTTTCAAAGCTTGAATTACAGCTAATACCTCAAGTTCAAAACTGGTAAATTTCTTTTCCGTATCAGGACAGTTATTCTACGCTATGAGAGTCGATAGCAAGTTATGGGCCGCCAGATAGCTATATAGGTAGATGTCGCTGCTAGTGAAAAACAGGTCTGCCCGACATCCTACATTCTCTGAGTACCTAAGTAAGTTGTAGAGAGCGCGCAAAAAAGTGTTGCCGCATCGTCAATCAGGGTTGTGCAGTTGATGTACTAAGTAGACAATGGCTTTATATATATATTCGCCGCTGATTTTTTTCATATTTACACGAAGAATACGGTCGTAGATCTCTGAATTGGTGGCGAATTTATAGAAAATATGTTGATGCTTTTGCTCTAGCAGAAGATGTTTTCATTGAGTATTTCAGATAGCCAAAATTTATAGTTATTTTAATTTGCGATGTACTGAGAGAGTATTTGGAGCCACATTCAGAAAACAAGAACGCAGTTTCTACTGAAAGAAAGGTTATTATTTATACTATTCCTTAAATTATAGATGTATATTGTAATTATATGCTTTAAAAATGTAGAAGTTTATCAAGCACTTATAGACATTCAATAAGCTTCTACTCGATTTATGTACATAAAGAATTACGTTTATTTTAAAATCTAACAGTTGAATATCTTACGAACAATACTGTACATAAAAAGGAATGTCGTTCATTATTATGCGAAATTCACACTACTGTAAAATAAAAATAAAAGAAAATTATAAAACTATAAAATAGCTTTATAATATTTTTACAGTAGCAGTACTACTACTAGTGAGATAGTTTTAAAAATAAGTTTTAGCCCAGAAGGGCTATTAACTTTGTTTTGCCATTTTGTAGCGTTTCACTTTTCAAAACGTTGCCACTAAATATCATCGCACTATATATTTAAAGAAATTAAATAATGAGGAATCTGCATAAATATATGAATGTTTCTCGCACTGTGATAAAACAACGGTGCCTAGAGCCATGAAATTTTGAATAACGTAATCCTCCATCCTAATATAGGCATCTCGGAAGCCAAAATTTGGAACTGGGAATTTGTTTTATTATATATTTCATATTTTGTAAAGCATTTATGAGTGTTTGATTAAGAAACTGAATGATTTCAAAGCGAGCAATGGCAACATTGTACGGAAAATAAAAGAGGAAAGAAACATTTTCATCTCTACCGCGCGAAACTATGTATTGAAAATTCTAAAGATATGCTATTTTTAAATTATATGATTTTGCTGTTGAAATTGAATTTTATGGTTTAAATGCAAAGAAAATGATATTTAATAAATAAAGGTAACACACAAAAAATTAAAAAAAAAACGGCCTTTTGGGAGTAATATAAAATCTGAAAACTTTCAGATTTTTTTTTTTTTGTTGTGTGTATGTGTGTGTGTGTAATTTTATTACGTTTTAAAATTGGTTTCTAAGGGAGGAACTTTCTGAGGGAAACTGGCTGGCTTGTATACACGTTACACATATGGGGAAAGCCACTGAAAACGCCAATGACGTGGCCCAGCTCGTTCGTGGGATTTGAACCTCGGACCAAACTTACCTGCGTTCAGCGACTCTACCGCTCGGCCCCTGGTGGGCTTATTAGCAGAATTATACTGTATTATTATTGTATTATGCTATAAAGTAACAATGCCATAAGACTGAGACATACCTTTAGAATTTCCGATACATAGTTTCGCGCACTAGAGATGAAAATATTTCTTCCTCTTTTAAGTTATGGAGTAGTACTTTTGTAATCCATTAGTATTAAAAAATCATTGTTTCTTTGCAAACTTAAAAAAAAAAAAAAAAATACTATTCATAGTAGAGTTCTCATTTTTATATTGTAAAAGAGATATTGATTATTATTAGTTTTTTTATTTAATGTGTCAAAGTGTTAAAACGCTGGTTTGACAAGGACTTCTTCAACTGCAGGAGACCTAATTGATTATTTAAAGAAACAGTGCAAATCGTGAAAAAAAATCACCTTCAGTATATTTAAAAAATACTGATAAATTTATAAAATAATCTGAATTACTATAAAAGATTTTCTTATATGAAATTATCTAAGTGCATTTAGTTACAATATTATTAACGGGAATATCGTTTTGTGTAAAGGTAAAGAAAATATTTTTTCGTGCTAAATTAATTAATGGATTATTTATTTTGAGCAAAAAAAAAGCACGAAAATCAGAGTTTAAATTATCCCGAAAAGTCAAAGAAACGCTTTTGTCAAAGAACGATTCATCTTAACCCGTGTTCCTCAATTTCCTATATACATCGTACACTGATTATTTTTACTTTAATACTTGCATTGTGAAAATAATATTATTATCTTTTAATTATTTTCACAGAATAAAATCTTTTGAGAAGGAAGAATATTTTAATAAGCAGTTTTTATATATATATTAAATTAAAATAACAGCAATGTAATATTAAAAAAAAGGATTAGTAGTTGTGTGACAAAAATTACAATACGAATTAATCACACATACAGGATAGATTAGTATAATTTTGGTATATATTTTATATTGAAAAAATATTTTCTCTCATGTTAAT